CCCCAAAACCCCAAAACCCCAAAACCCCAAAACCCCAAAATTTTCCCTCGGTTGAATAATCCAAGTTATAAATTTTAGAATTCAGAATTAGAGTATATTAATACTGGATGATGTCGTTGTTAGCTACAGTACTGAGGGAATGACTAGAATTTTAGTAGGACGCATAATCGCCTTTTTTCATTTTTTATTCTTCATTGTTTTTGAGAATTTCCATGTCTTTATCTGCTGACCTATATAATTATAATAAAGATTACTGATTCTTTTCCTCATCTGGTGGGGATCCTCGATACTTTTAAGATAACTGGTCACGTTTATTCAGCATTGGTTCCTATACAAGTAGTGATTAAGATACACTAAATTGTTTCACTTAATCTAATCAATTTTACCAAAAAAGTAATAAAAACTAGTACAAATCCCACTTAAACCCTAAATATTAAAAATCCTAATCCAAAAATACCTCTGCCCCCTATCCAAAGTCTAAAAATACCTAATTTCTTCAAAAACTTACTATTTTTCCCTATTTTCCCTATCAACCACACATATTTTCAGATATTAAAAGACTTTTAAAATAGTCAAGCTAAGCTACTTGTGCTACACAGAAAACTTCAGATTAATATGCACTTTTAGTGATTGGCTTAGGAGGATTATATAAGTTAGAAGAAATTACACTATGCAATTTTTGGATAAGATTTAGAGGAAGATTATTAACAAGTGGGCTTTAGATATGGGTGGTATTTTGGGATAAATGAAGAGTTTAAGGGTCTGGATATTGAATTTGGGGTCATTGAAGATAGGGGATAGTTAGAGTTGGAGTAATGTTAGCTGGAAAGTATTGAATGCAATAAATAGAGCTTTAGAATTTGTACTAGAATTGATTATTAAGAACATAAGATTAAATCTGCCAGCAATTTTAACAAATCTAGTTTACTAGTTTTCTCTGAATTTTGTATAGAAGAGTATTAAAAGTGAGCAATTGAGAAATATACTGTCTTTCTTCCCTGCTAAGTTATCAAGCAAGTAGCAGGGCTGCTTGGACTTTAGAATGCTCAGTAAATTATTATACTTGACAAATATCGTAAAGTCTTACAGTTCGGAAATTTCGCCATTCTGTGTAAAATCGAAGTAATATTTGGGATTAGCTAAGTTACTGTCGTTGGTATTGTTTTTAAAAGTTGCTGAGTGATCATATGTACTATATTGACTAGATGGGCTTCCGAGAAATGAAGAAGGAGATGAGCTATAAATTAGAAGGAATAAAATACAATTTCCCAGCTCTATTGCGACTTTTGCTTAATTTCTTATTCCTAAATTTTGAGTCTCTGCTAGATATTTGTAATACTTACCTCAGTTTAACATGTGGCTTGAAGATCTTTGTGTTTTTGAAGGAGTTGAGAATGGACTCATTGGAAAATACCTCCTTTTCTTTAGACTAGGACATGATAATTAGCAAAATGTTGAGCACAGGATATACTTACGCTGTTATTGCTACAATTTTGGAAGACCAAATCGCTTTTAGGTCAGTTAAAAGTGTCATTCTTCCAGTCTTTTTGGAAATTAAGGCTCGGCTTATAACTATTTTGTCTTTTCTTTTTATATTTCTTGAGCATAGTCACTTTCATGTGTATTCTTCTACTAAGGAGGGGCAGAGGAGACTTATTTGGAGGTATAACACTCCTGCGTTCGTTCTTTTCATAAACCGGGGACTTTTGATGGGTCTTAAACATCTTGTTCTGCTTGATGAAGACACTCTTCTTCCCAAGTCTCAACTGGGCGTTCTTTAAAGGCTTATCAGTCATATTTATAAATATTCAATGAAAAAGTGCCGGAATGGGGTTTTGGGGTTTTGGGGTTTTGGGGTTTTGGGG